GTTCCGCATGGTCAGATTGCATCTGTCAGGCAGTCGTGTAGTAAAAGAAGAAGAAAAGACAACGACTGCAGATCCCCAAGTTGACAAATACACGGTACAATCCATTTCACTGAAGTGGAGAACGCAGCTAGACAGAGTGAGAAAGCGAAAGCCAACTTACTTCGGGTGCCATATTAGCGACCAGAGGTGGGCCACCATCATCTGCTTGATGCCGGATTCTATCCAGCAGATATACAAGGTGCTCGCCCTCTCTAGTCTGTATGGGAATGGACACGTTGACCCAAAGATGTTCCACTGGGGACGGACCTTCGTTCGAGACGAGGTAAATGTGTTTGATCTCGGGCCCCAATGTTTCCGGATGTACGCGTTGCATTTCGTACAGCTGAACGGTAAAATTGCGTGAATCGATGGTGGTTCGATCGAGGGAGGAGGAAGAGAGCTGAGATGGAAGTAAAATGGAAAAATTTTCAGTTGATACACAAATTCGAACTTGAGAAGTGAGTATCAGGGAGAAATCGGTCAGTGCCAGAAAAAGAAGAACAGCCTGAGTAAATTCTTGCCAAGTATCCTGAGTCTAATGCATCAATAGAATTTCGTTCAGGTTTTCCACTTCGTGACAACAAAGATGTTACTAACTGCGGTGACCCAAACCTACCACATAAAGCAGTAGTCAATCAAGATGCATTAGGGGTACGATAAAATTTAAATAGCCACCAGTTTTCACAAGGAATAACAGGTGCTGTTGCATCCTGATGATGTCACAGCGCTTGGTGGCAAAGTACTTACAACCAGACTGTCAAGATCGATAAGCAAACGAACATCTTGGTGGACAACCCTAGCTAGTGATGAGTTAGTCATTGGGACTGACGGCACAGTACTGGGAATGTAAGATGTAAACCGTATGCCTGCATACAGCACAAGACTTCGCTGCAACGCGACCACCAACAGTCGAGCAAGCGCCGAGTATACCGTGAAATGGTCTGTACCAAAGCGGATTCGAACCGGCAACCTTCGGATTACAACGCGGGCGCACAATCCTTTGGGAAACCGGCTGAAATTAAAACGTTGTGGAGTAAAGTGCAAGAAAATCACCAAAGCACCCACATATTCCATTTGTGTCTCATCTATGGCTTTGATGTTTGTTGGATCCGTTCTTCATTTATCTATCAACAAACGAAAGTGCCAAACTTGCAGCAGTCGTAGATGACATGCACCAAACGCTTCTTGCGGACGGACGTATCCCTAAGCACTGCATTACCAAGCTTTAGCACCACAGATAAGAATTTCTTAAAAGTTGATAAACCATGATAAGGTCACCACGCAAACGCCGAAAGGGTCCAATGGAAGGTTCAAAAATGCTGAGACACTGTTCGAAAGTGGATTATCCATTTTGACATTGTGGAAGCTGCAAGAGAGTGAGATCCCGTTTCCAGCATGCCTGTCATGAGTGAAACATAAGTTCCACGTGAGGGCGAATGTATTCAGAAAGAAGCTGGGGGAAAACGGTTGGGCCAAAGTGACCGAAAACTCGAATTAAGAGAGCCAAGTTTTTAATGTATTTCTATGCCGGAGAACATTGTTCTGATCAACTAAGGTCTTCCTGGATCAGCACAATAAGCTCTTTTTCACAAGAACAGACGGCTGCCTTATAGTTTTGAACCATCTGCTGCCGTCTAACGGGACAAGGTCTAGACTAACCATCCATTGATCTTGTGTATGTCGCTTTGACACTGCATGCGGTCTTCCGTACCTTGCGTGTCCGAAATTCGGGCAACTGTGCCAGTTCGAATTAACCTACACGTAACTGTCTTAGACAATAACTGGTAAGCTCAAAGGACTTCGAACACATGTATGGAATCACAACGCAGGTGCCCTATGTTCACGAATACGGCATTCATATATAGGTGCTTACCTTTCCTCTAGTTCTATCCTACAAACAGTCCACGTGCTACAGAAGTAGTCTGACACTGCACCCTGTCAAAAGTGAAAACAAGCAGATGTGAAGTGACACCTGTCAATGCATCTTCCACTGTTGACTGGAAGTGTGATATATGTTTTGGAGAGTTTGATATTATCGACACATATCTATTGCGAACAGTGGATCAAGCAGACTGCATGATGCACTTGTACCTCATCTACACGGTTTGATAAAATGAACCGCGGAAGCGAAATGTAAGCGCTTCCAGTTAACTCGCACATTCATTGCACACCAGCGGATATCTCAATAATTAAAGGTATGTCCAACTTACAAGTCTGTTCAGTTCAGTTTAGTTGAACAACTATGAGCCGGGCACTACAGTGCGGTGGTGGATCCAGTTGCCACGACTGATACCGTAAGAATAACAATAATTAACACTGGCAAGATATTGGGGTTAAGGACAGAAAGAATGTAAAGATAATGGAAGCAGGAAGGAACTGCGTTAAACTAATAAGAATGGGAGAACTAAAAACCAGATGCAGGAAACCGAATGTAGGAACGCCAGTGACTGCTTGACTGCGCCATGCCTGATACGGTCACCAACCATTGGTGTGGACTATCCCGAGGCGCCCATCAAGGAACATGGCACGCACCAGGCTGACCCAGTCTTTTAGTCAATTTCTTAAAGCCTTTAGTATACGTCATGCACTGATCACATGGCGGTTTCGCTCAACTCGGTGAAGCCACGGTGTAGAATACACATTGAGGTAACTGATCAACGAGCATACGGAGGACATGACCTAGCCAACGCAAGCGACTATCGTTTATCAAACACTCCAGTGAGGCACCGGAAAGCTGGTTGCCAAAGACAAGCTGGCGGACCATAGCATTGCGTACCCGATGTTCCCACCAGATGTGAGCAATATTTCGCAAGCACCGGTGGTCAAACACGGTAAAGCATTTAATTTCTTCATTACAAACTGGGCACACGGTAGCACTAGCCTTACGACAGTGTTACACACCCTAGCTTTCACTGACATGCTTATTTTCAGCCGTCTCCATAGCTGGTTGAGTCACTGGAAAGCCAAACAGGTCTTGCTGATGCGCGAATTAATATTTTCAGTAACGTGACCAACAGAGGTGGCTACTACCAAAGTAAGTGAATCAATCCATCACTTCACATGCCTGTTCGACAATAGCTAAAACTGGGGGTATGTCGGTCTAAACGGATAGGTCTAGCCATCATCGAAACTTTCTATGCATTTCTCCTGTTTCGCTTGAACTGTTTGTTACCAGAACATAATAATAATAATAATAATAATAATAATAATAATAATAATACGTAGATTTCCCTCGATGGGCGAAACTGTGTGTATAGCGGCACAGATCAATTTGTACAGAAGTATCCATGTTCTTGCATGGGTGAAATGCACAGGCGAATTAATGGGATATGCATTTCATGTAGTGACATTCTGGCAGATGGTTGAGGCAAAAGCCTAGTTATGAAAACATTGCTGTTTAGATGTTTTCGGGCCCCTTTTGGAATAGTTCATCGAGGGATTTTCCCATGTGAATATATAGCTCAGTGTAGTTTGATTAGTGCCCCATGCTGACGCTGATGTCGCATTCTTGATGCTTCTTCACCGCAGTTGGGCTAAACCAACTTACACTTAAACTAGGATTTTTAAGCTGGCTAAATTTCATTCCACTTTATTTAGTTTGTTCTGCCTACCTGAACACTCTTCTATTAACTGGCCACGTTGCTTACATTAATGGCGCTTATCTTCGGCAACGTTGTTGCGTTTTGTAGCATTTTTAACTAACTTGTGGACATTTCTTACTTATCGCGAATTTGTTGCTAACCAACTTACTTCATATGCTTATTTAGCTTAGTTATGCCACCGTATCTGTATGCATTATTGGATTTGTTTTATTTCATCTTGTCGTTCCAGTTGATTGGCTGTTGCTTGATATCTCCGGTGTGGCTGCGCTTGATGTGCATGTTGACAAGGTGCCTACCTGTCTAGCACCCACTACCTCGTTCATAATGGCTCCAGGAGACAGTTGATCGTTGCTGGAGGGGACGGGGTGCACGGTCCTTTTGGTCGTGCTAGGCTCGAAGAGTGGTTCCATGCACTCAGTGTGGAGCGAACTACGGTCCAGCCACCGCCTTGTGTGCGCTTGATTTCCCAAATACAGCGTGCTTGTGTTTGCCTGTGAAGGAGTGTGGGCCGGCTCCGTTGATGAAACGTGGCTCCCATTCACATGCCTCCCGGTCTTATTCCTTCGGGTTTACACTAGATATGGGGTGTGTGGTTGGAGCTGTGGATAGTGCAGCGCAAGCCACCCGTGGTCCCTCTGTAGGCGCAGGCGTCCTGTGGCTGGCCACAGTGACAGTCAAATCCGAAACCGGATGCCGCCAACCATGTAGTTTGATTAAGGCAGTTGGTGTGTCTGATTCTAAATGTCGTCACTTTGTCACATGACCTAAGGGTTACTGGTAATTTATTCCATAAGTAGCTATATCTGACCAGTACGAAGTTAGAGCGGATGTTTGTTCTAGCCTTCGGTATATTCAGTGTAAAATCTTTACTGTGAAGTGCTCTAGTTGAGCAATGTTGTAAATTGAGTGTAGGAAGGTTGGAATAGGCTTTTTGTGTAACATGTTGAAAATGAAGGTAGACAAGTCCCTAATTTCAAGATCTCGCGTGGACAACATTGTAGGGACGCGCTCATTTTTTAGGGTGATATATCTTTCGGAGATGCGGCAACTGTAAGACATGATGCTTGATTTCCTATCCGAGAGGTTCATCACTCATGTGCAACACCATGACTCAAGGAAATCCAAATCATCTTGGATGAGCAGTAGTGTCCCTTGAAGCAAGTCAGGCAGAAGCTTATAGACGATTTTGATATCGTCAGCAAATAACGATGTGGTACCGTGTTTTCCAGATGAGGTAATGTCATTGATGTAGAGTAAAAGGAGTAGGGGACCGAGCACGCTCCCTTGAATAACCCACTGGTGATTGAGTGTGCGGAATAACGATAATCACCTAAAGTGACTATCTGATGTCGAACACTCAGGTATGACAATAGCCAACCTAGTAATGAGCCTCGGATCCTAAAGTCCTCTAATTTTAGTAATAGTCACTAGTGCGATACTCGTTCGAACACTTGGTGAATGTCAAGAAACAAGCTTACCACTACATAGCCGGAATGGATTGATTCTGATATGTGGTTAAAGTAATGTAATTGGCAGGTGGTGCATGACCGTTTATTATGTAAACCATGCTGCGAATTATTGATAAGGCCAACAGAATCAACAAAGTTCATCATCTCCATTCTCATCAGCTTTTAACAGATAACGTACCACTAGTGAAAAGCAAATGCTTGACAATGTCCATAGGATGGTTGGAGAGATAACTAACAATAGATCAGACGATAAGTGAATTGTCAGTTTAGGCGTCTACCTACTCAACTGAACTGTTGCCTAACGATTATTGGAAATGAGAATTGAATGT